TTTTTTTTCCCGAGAACTTTTCCAGTATAAAAAAAAAGTTTACAGACCTCGCAGCTAAAAAATATGAAATCAGCGATCAAGTTATTCAGAGCTGCGTCTCACAATGGTTTTCGGAAGCTGGTGATCGAGAGAGAGGGCACACGCAGATAGTAATATCGACAGTATTTTAGTTGATATCAGCATTTGTACTTATTTCTGATCAGGCACCTGCGTACAAATGCTTAAAAACTAATTTGTATACAATTTTATTTTAAAGTTATAGCTAATAAACGTTACCAATAACTATAAATAAAGGTTAACAATCCAAAAATTGATACTGGGTTTGTGCACTTGCCAGTATTGGCCAAGTAACGAGACCCGATATTCGAACGATACTGTAGTCTTTATAATGGCCCGATCTTATCATTCTAGCATTGGTCTAACGTTAGATAACTGAACCATTGAATGAAAAATCACTGTTTGTGAGCATATTTTCGTATGCAACTCAAATACAAAGCTTTCAAGAAAAAAATGTCACGTAACTTTTTTTTCCTTGTCAAATTTCTTAAAAGGCGACATTTTCTGGATCCAAAAAATTATTATTGTTTTATTGCTAATAAACTGCATATAAACATATTTTTACTTCAACGCCTTAAATATTTTTCAAAAAAATTCAAAATTCACCTTTTCTTTTAAACAGTCTACGTAAATACTCTTTAACTTCCGCACCTGTTTTGGACTTATGGTTAGTCAAATCTTTTTTTTGTGATCGTTTACACTTACAGTTTAGCTTCATCGTAAGTACAACATCAACATCTTTCAAATAAAAATTCTTATACATAACAATGATATTTTTTGTATCCAAAAGACAGATTGTGTATGTGTAAACATTTTGTTGTTTTTATCTATTATTTAGATGTACGTAGGTGCAGATGGATTCAGTAGGCTTACATGTTTATGTTAGTAGCAAAAAATCAGTTTTTACCAGTTCTATTATATTACATGACCATGTGAAAAAAATTTTTATTTTTTATGGATGACAACATTATTTATTGCAAAAAGAAAAATGGATCTGAAATTTTTAAATGTAAATCAACAGTTTTTTAAACAATGATTTTAATAGAAATTTAAATATTATACTACAAATATATCGCACATACATGTACACGTGTGAAAGGGTGGTTGATGAGTTTTTTTTTAAAGAAATTATGGATGATTAAACATATTCCAATAATTTCTGATAGTGTAATAAGTTGAACGATTGCTACTGTTCAAAATTATACAATAATATGAAAAACCTACTTATTAGTATACTTATTGTTGATTACTCAAAAATAATACGTAGCAGCATTCGAAAAATGTTTAACTAAAATTAAATATACATTTAAGTTAGTTTCTAAGACATTAGCCGAGTAAGAAAAACTAGATTATTTATACCTGGACATTTGTCAAAATTGTAGGTCCTATGAAATTTCCTTTTTCAAATCCAGGAACCTTAATATCTCTGCCATCAAGCGGTAAGCTAGCACCTTCTTGAATACCAGCTTCAATGAGCTCCAGAATTCGATTTTTAGATTGAGGTGAAATGACCGGTCCAAGGTCAGTACCTGGGACATGTCCAGCGTTAACTTTAAGCTGTTTAGCAGCATGCATTATATCTGAAATCCAGTCCTTAGTATTACCTACAAGTATGGCAACCGATATGGCCATACATCGCTGGCCTGCTGCACCAAATGCAGCTCCAACTATTTGGGAAATGCTCTTTTTTTTATTAGCATCAGGTAATACTATACAATGATTTTTTGCTCCATTATTGCACTGTACTCTTTTACCGTTTGCAGCACTGCGTTCATAAATGTATTTTCCCTGTAACATACCATAAAATCATAACTATTTGTTTATAAATTATTAATCATGAGTCATTATTTAGGATAGATGAATGATGAGTACTCTTCAACTTATTTGCTACTTCACTCCGTAATTCATCAAAGATTAAAATAAGTTAAGAACTTTTTAACAACACTATGTTATGAGCACCTACCTAGTCTTAAAAAGTTTCTACATAAGCATTATCACTTTTTCATAGTGAGAATAACTACAAATACATCAAACTTCTTAGGCTTTGAGAAAAAAGCGAACTCTTTTTATGTGTAACTATTTCTATGTTCGGAAAAATAAATAAAAAAGCTAGAAAAGTTTATTAAACTCAAAACACTTGTATGGCTAAAACGGTAAAGACCCTTGAACCCTTAAATTTTTGTTATGACAAGAGACAACCAAGATTTTTCTTGTAGGTGGTCCAGAACAATGAACATAACAATAATCAGCCCATGAAAGAATTGCCAGAGCTGCCAATACGGCCAATCCTTGAGTCAGTACTGGCAACCGTAGCATCGTATGCTGCGGCATGCCGGACTTCGGCCGAGGCTTATGCCAACGGCGGAATGATAAGATCGGACCAAAGTCCGCACACCCGTACTAGCACGTTATAGTTTGCCAAAGCTTTTTCAATTTCCGATGTAAACATCGCCATCCAGATGCTGGCCATGCTTTGGCATTAGTTTTTTTTATCAATTTTCGAAATTTAACCTAAACAAACTGAAACATCTAATTTTTCTTACGAAGCCACATTGTGTACGTTTTTACGTTTTAAATCAAATTGTTAATCTTAATCTTATTTAAAAAAATCAAGAGCCTTAAAAGATAAGAATCGCCATCTTCGTCGTCGTCACTAACATCGTTGTCAACATCTAACTCTTCAGTAAGCTATGTCTACAAAAAAAAGGAGAGGCAGTGATACAATGGTCAATGATGTCGGGGAAAAACTAATTAAAAATTTATCAGATATTAGATAAGTTTTTTTTTAACATGTGTATGTGTGCAATTATAAAACTATGAGCACTCTAAGCAATTTAATTACCAGTTTTATGTATTGTTTAAATCAGAAGGCATTTGCGAACCTCCTATTCTTTTTTTTTTTTTTTTTTTTTTTTTTTTTTTTTTTTTTTTTTTTTTTTTTTTTTTTTT